CACTCGGTCGGCTCTATACCCGCGTCACCCTCGTCTCGCCCTCGTCTCGATCCAAAAACAGCCGCGGCGTGTGCGCACGCCAAACAAAGAAAGCAGCGTCCAAAACAAATCTATACACCAGGAGGATCCAAACATGTGCTTTGCGCATCGTTTCTCCAAACAACATCGCCACATGCCCTTTGTATATGCACTTGTTGTCAGCATGGTCACCACAAGCTTTGAAGTGTCAAGTTCTGACACTCTAGGCGCTTGCAAAAATTAACCGCATGTTTGGAGTGTGCTGCTTGGGTGCTCAGCAGCCCTTGACAACTTGCTTCGCCTGCAAGGGAAAATTATTTCAAATATAGATTTGGCCAAGGTCAGTTATAATGCCCAAGATATATATTTTTTTAGGGAAACGATGCAAACCATGAACCGACTTTTTCGAGTCGTTCGCGCGCGTGTTCTTGCAGAGGCACTGTGGGGCCGCTCCTGCAGCCATTTGGCCTTTTTTGGGGGGGTCCCAAGCTCCCACGCCGCACTTGAAGGCAGGGACTTGTGACGCTATCTGCTAGTGCAGTCGTGCCAATTCCAGTTCAGCCGCCCGAACCGCTGGCAGGGCTCAGGCTTCTGAAGGGTGCAGTTTTGCCTTTTTGTCATGGCGATGGACCCGCCAGCGCAGGTCTTGGTGGCACAGGAAGCGGAGAACGAGTTGTTCGTGAAGAGCGCGAAGCCTTGGCGGTCATGTCGCGCCAAGGCTTTTGAAAGACAATTCTTTGGTTGTTTTTGTTGCTATTTTGTGGCCAACCTTTGCTTGAATCTCATGGCCGTACTTTGCAGCATGCAAGGTGCTGGGCGGATTCCATGTGGCGAACTTGAGGTGGCGCAGGTTGCGCGCGGCATTGTTCGTGAGCTGCCCTTGACGGCGGTTGAGCTGTTGGAGAGAGGTGAGTGGAAAGGTGGCAACATCATTGCCGTTGACTCGGCCTTGCAGCGGGCGAATGCAGCTGAGTGTGCCACCAATTTCCATTACCTGAAACCGGTTTTGGAACACTCGCCGGACAAAGTTTCATGGATGATGAACTCAGTTTTGCCTTTGCCTTTTTTGTGCTGGGTGAGGTTGTAGGCCTGGCCTGTGCGGGCAGTCTCATTGCCAGCCACCTAGGTGCCCAGTGGCTATTTCCTCACGGACGTCTTTCTCTACGTCGACTTGATCTTCAAAGGGAACCTGCTGGTTAACCCGAGCCCGGACCAGCAGAAGGACAAAATGACCATTGCAGCTGAGGAAGCTGTGAAGCTGAAGCGGCTCGTGAGTACGATTCGTGGACTCTGGCGCTCATCAGAGACAGGGAACCATCCCAGGGTATCAGAACTCAAATCGATGCTGCGCCCAAGCCCCCGAAAGGTCACTGTGGTTTGAGTTTGGTAGTCTGTTTGTTTGTTGTTCTTGCCTCAATCCAACTTTCATTTTCTTCCCTGCAAGTCGGTTTTCGTGTGTGCGCAGACTAGGCCAAACCTGCAGAGCAGCTTGTGTCTGAGGGCTCGCCGCCTTCGCCTGTTGTGAGCAGCGATTCTGAGTCTGAGGGAGGAGAGTCTTCGCTGAATGCTCCCACGCTGCGCTTGGGGGATGTGGGTTCGCCGTCTGGCGATGAGTCCCCAGCACCGTTGGCAGACGCTGCCGCTGAGGACGACGATGCCATGGACGATGCCATGGGTTCTTCTGACTCCGAGGAGCTCGACGATCCAGAGAGCGATGGTGAGTCAAACATGTTTCAAGACAGCCAGCTTGGCTCTTGGTGGGGCTCTGCCTATCAAGAGTTTGGCAAGCGTGAGCGACTCGAGAACACGCAAGTTCCAATCGAGGCATTGTATGAGATGTTTGTGGATAGGAAGCCTTCGAAGGAGTACCAGGGGACTTTTAGCAAATCTGATCTTCGGCGGTTTGGTTTTCTATATAGTGGCAAGTTTTCCTGTGTCAGCGTTGTCTTGGGTTTTGTTGTAATAGGGCTCAGCTACCATGTCGGTGTCACAGCGCTTGAGGCACCCTATGTTTGAAGACTATCTCCAGCACTGCATCAGCCAGTTTCGAGAGCATGGTTTCAGCGCCAAGACTGAGAAGCTATGCACGGCCAATCATTGGCAAGTGTTTCGCAGTGCCAACTCTGGGGAGGCAGGTGAGGAAACCCATCTTCAAGACATGACCGATGTTGTTCTGATTTGATCAAATTTGAGCGATTGCGCTCCAACTCTTTCATAAATACAAACAGTATGTAATCAAGTTTTTTGAAATAAACATAGTGCTAAACATATGTATATACTGACGCACGCAGCTCTTTAGCGTTCTCTTCATTTTCTCAGCGCCTACTCAATCACCCTGCTCCAGGCAATGCCTGCGAGGCCAATTGCTGCGCCACTTCGATCGCAGAATGGGCAGGAGCGAGTGTGAGGGGTTGACCAGAGTCAGCAAGTTTTCAGTCTTATGATTGTTGAATACAAGTCAAGTCAGATATGTGGCCACCAGCCGTACACAACCCTGCAGGACACCGCTGCACATGGTCTTGAGGGTCGTCCTGCTATCAATCCTTTGGAGTTCGATTCAAGTCGAGATCGCATGAACGGTGACCTTGAAGTCCCTGGAAAACAACACCTGGCTCCTTTGCCACAAAAATGTAAGTTTTGTCACGCGCTCACAGTCCTTTAGGGTTGGTGTCCATTTGACCCGAAAGCTGTGAATGGTGTCATTTTGATCCATTCGTCATACCTGCCCTTCGTACCGAAACCCTTATACAAAGAAACAGTGCGGTCAGAGTTTATTTTTTGGGGGAAGCCTCGCAAAACACATCGCCCAGGACCGATCGAACAAGAAGAAGAAGAAGGTGAAGGCAAGCGCCTCCAAGGCCGTCCACAAGAAGCACCTGAAGGACAAGAAGGAGACCAAAGGTGCCACCTGTCAGGTTTGGAATGGGATTGACTTGAAAGCCCTTGGTGTACCCTCTGCTGCGTGGCCCACTTCCCAGCGAGAGAACAAGGGGAAGCACGGCTACACGCTTTCCTGCCCGAAAACGAACGCAGTCTCTCGTTCATCTGGCAAGTTTTGTTTTGCGTGATCTTGAGGGTCTCACATAGGGGCGGTTGGTCCAAGCCTACGTCTAGACACCCAAATAAAAACTCCAAGACACACCTAGAAGAAATGGATCTTCTTCCCTCTCCCTTCAACTTTTAAAGATGTTTCTTTTGCAGTCATTCATTGTCCAAATCTGAAGCCCAGGTTATGGAGGTTTTATGCACCAAGCGTGCGTACGTTATGAAGAAAATAGGTGATGCCCACCCTGATCCAAACATGGCAAAGTGTGGGCAAGTCACTTGGAGCAAACATGGTGGCCCAGCAGCAGCCTGGGAGGTTGCAAAGGCGCGCGCACACTTTAAGTGCTGACGCTTTAGTTTAGACTGAAGGAACAACCTTCGGTGTCATGAGTGGGGTGGGGGCTCGCGCCTATGGAGCATAGACGGTGGTCAGGATTGACTACACAGGTTCCATAGCGGCAGCATGCAACTCATGAAGCATCGCCGAACATGTCAAAAAGGGCGTGCCGTGCAAGAATCTGGCAGTAGTACTTAGTGATTACATAGGCGGCTCACGCAAACAATGCTGCCTAGCAACAGGCAATGCTCGAAGTTTCCTGTGCAAGAACCAGAGAAGCGATGTTTTGGAGGTGACCTCATGGCGGCGGCGATTGCGGCTTCTTGGTGAACATCCCGGGAGGCTTGCCCACTACCCCCAGTCCCAAACGAGCGCCCAATGTCAAGCGCTACTCAAAGCTTTCAAACAAAATATTCATGCGGTTCATGTGGGCAGGCTTGAGCGAGCGTTGCAACATGACTACATTAATCGTTGAAAAACTCTCGGAAGGCCATCACTTTCGCTGCTGAGCGGCCTGCTGCTGGCACTAGAGCTTGACCATTGAGGACCGCGAGCGGCAAGAATAGACCTCAAGGGCACATGTTGTGGGCTGAAGCCATGGTCACATTAGCGACACAGAACCATGACGCCACTTTCTCCCATGGACCACTGAAGTGTTGATACAGCGCATGAAGCTAACCTTGACTTTTCCTTGTGATGATGCAGGATACCAGGGAGTACTACACATGCGGGGCCTTCAGGATGACTGCGAGTGTTGTCGCTCGCATTGGGGTGGAAGTTGGTTGCTCATCGATATCTTTTTGATGTGGTGGAGTTCTTTCAAGATCAAGGAATTCTTGACAACCGTGCCCTGTTAGTTTGGCGTGCGCAACGAACATAGTATAGACATGTATGGACATTGGTGTTTGGAACTGTTGCGTGGTCAGAAGCCCAAAGCTTCAAGCAAACATCGCCTGTGTTCCCCATAGAGGTTCGGCTCAGGTTCACAGGCGCTTGTTCCAAGCTAGACGTGCTTTGAGCGATGGGGCGCCGTAGGTTTGCACCCATGCCTTTTGCCAAGAAGGCAAAGAAAACGGTCCCGCGAACCATGAAGGACAAGCAGCGTGCATGGGTTCTCCAAGGGCTCAAGCATATGCGAGCGCCGTCAGTTGCTTTGCAATGATTTGCACCGTTCATAGGTCCTGAGCTGGTTTTTTCAACGGCGATTCAACGGTTCTAAACCAAGTCTGAAACTGGAGAGGGGTGTGGTGACACTCATATCTAATTGAAGCCCGAAACCATGTACCTTTGGTTTCGCTTCAGGTCATCGCGCTTTTGGCAGCGCTGGTGTTCTCCACGCCAGGTCTAGACTGGTCACCGATTCAACACTTTGAGACTTTTGCCGGTGAGATGGCAGTGACAAACGCTGAGGCCCAGGTAGGTGAGGGACCACAAGAACAATGTTGTTTGGGTGACCCTTTCAATCTTTGTTTGAAAAGAAAAATGGTTGGTGTCCACTTTGTGGTCAATGAAAAAAGACCCCCACAAGTCCTCCCTTAGCCCCTCCAAAACATCAGTTTTCAGCTGGTAGAGGAGGACTTGTGGGGGTCTTTTGTCACCAATGGGAAACGTCAAAACATACCTGTTTTGTAAACCCCTCAAGGCTGGGAGAAAAGCGGTGCCGTTTGAGATCAATCTTGACCCACAGGGCCAGGATATTCTTTTGCCGTGGGGCTTTGCGAACGCAGTGTACCAAACGCTGCGCTTGGAACCAGGTTCAGGGTCCCTACACGCGCCTGTGTGTTCGACTTGGGTCTTCATGCCCCTCATTCGCTCGAACAAGATTTTTGTTTTGTAGTCATTGTGGTCGGCAATTTGCGCAAGACTCAGAACCATTCCTTTCCAAGAGAGATGTATGGAATATATAAAGAGGTTTATAAGGGGGTGGTTGTTGTTCCTTTTAATTTACACAAGCCTCAAGACACGCCCGCCCACAGGTCAAGGGGGAGCACAAAGAGGAGCCCAACTAGGCCATTAGGCCGGCCTGATTCAGAAGCTGTCAGGAATGGCAATGTCATGACAGCCCGGGTTTGCATATTGTTGCTTTTGGCAGCCACTCGTGGTGTGTGGAGCATTCTCGAGCAACCAAGTACATCTTTGATGCACCTCCACCCGACTTTCCAGAGGGTCATGGCCATGATGAACATCAGGCGGTTGGGAATTCGAATGTCTGACTTTGGAGGAGCGTCGCGAAAATCAACACTTCTCTATTCCAGTGGCTCTTCATACATTGTAGAATAACATTTCTGGTTCTGAATTGTGAATCTAGTTTATTGAAGCAACCTGTTGAACACCATGCAAATCCATGAGCATCGCAGGCTTCAAATAAGTGTCAACACAAGTGCCCAGACTGGTGCCTCTGTTCCCTGCGTGGCCCCAACCTGACCTTATCCCCGTTCAGCCAAGGCCACCAAGAGATCGACCAAATGCTGGCTGAGCGTCGACCTGCGACTGGTCCAACAGACCAGCAGCCTCAGATGACCATCCGGTACATAGATGGGAGTGGGAAGAATCGCTGCAAGGGTGGAGCTGACCTCAAAGCTAGCCAACATTACCCGAAAGGGTTTCCCTGCTGCTAAAAGGTTTTTTGTGTGGTCAGAAGTCCTCCCATGGTTCTTTAGATGGCACACGAAGGAAAGAGACAAAACGCTAGGAACCAATGAGCCTATATGCAGTCAAATCATCAAGTTTAATGTTTCTCTTTGTGCGCGAGCGTATTTGCACAAACACTTGAAGAATGGGGATTCTGGGCCACCACTTGACTTGTCCACCAAGGTTTGGCAAGGCTTTGTCCAGGGTACGGTCCAGGAACCAGCAGGCCTTGCGCCGCCAAGCCAAAAGGCTCCTGAAGCTGGCGTCCAGAACGCAGCATAATGTGGATGAGAGGACTACAGTCAACGCCCATTGGATGAAGCATGCCAATTTGGGCCCTGTTCTTAGCTACCTAGCAGCCAGGACACGCTAGTTTGGCTGCAACCCCTTTGGGACATGCTTTAATGAAGCGTGGAGACATCCATAGCTTTTCTGCAATGAGATAGATCCTACCTGCGCGCTTTGCACATTGCAAAGGCCTGTGTGGGGAGTTTGACTTGGCGAGGGGGTCAAAAAATTGAACTCCCAGTCATCATGGCAGTGCAGTTCTTTCTAAACTCTGTTCCCCACATGTCCCCACAGCTCTCCTGCACCGCCAGCAGCGAAAGCTATAGCAGCGCCCACCGTGCCAGCGCGACGCCAGGAGAACAGCAGCAATCTTCGAGCTTTCAAGCGAGGTGCCTCCAGAGTTTTTTGGGAAAGCTGTGTCGCTATCAACGTGCGATTTGGAGAGAATCACCATGCGATTTGGCGAGAATCGTGCGATTTGTAGGTTTCAGCGAAAGACTGCATCTCAGAATCTACCAAAAAAGTCTACCAACCAAATCTACTGCATGGTCCAATCAAAAGCAGTGAATGTCTGTGAGTCTTCCTGCATACCGTCGTGCGATTTGTACCGCGTCGTGCGATTTGCAACCGTGCGATTTGTATCTTCGATGGGATATCACTTAGCTCAAAGTCTTCACAGGCCTTTGCTTTGACCCACCTTCGCCTCCATGGGGAAGCCCGAGGCACCACGTTTGCGCTACCACACCAAGGGCCCACCTGCGGCAGGTGGGAAGAGCGCTCCACTTTGCAGAGATCCGAGGTTCATCAAACAAGCGGCCAAGGACAAGACCAAAAAGAAAGTTGCCAAGGTCGACAAGAACAAGCGCATGTCCAAGACCAAGGCAAAAGAAGTGGAAAGAAATGCACGTGAGGATAGGAAGAAGGACAACCGCAGCACCAGCACAGGTTCGAACAAAGCTGCCAAAGCTCATGGGCAGATGACTACTACGCCATTCACACGCCCATCAGCGCTCAGGAAGACAAGTCATGAACGTTCAAAAGAAGAAAAGAAGGCTAAGAAAGTGAATTTGGAGGAGTTGGAACAGAAGTTGCGGGGCTTGAGGAAAGCTGAGGCAGAAGACGCCAGCGATAGTGGCTCAGAGAGCGAAGAAAGTCTTGACCAACACCTCACAGCAGCCCTGAAGAAGGAACCCCACGAAGAGTCCCCTCAAGACAGTGGTTCTGAGGGGGAAGAGGATGATGAGGATGATGGCGATGAGGAAGACGGGGGCGATGATCAGGAGGAGGGGGACCAGGAGGAGGAGGATGATGAGACCTTTGAAGCAAACGAGAGCTCTGAGAGTGAGGAGGAAGAGGAGGAGGAAGAACAGGAGGAGGACGAGAATGAAAGGAAGAAGAAAGAGAAGAGCAAGAAAGCCAAAGAGCGTGCAGCAGGTCATGAGCAACCTGAACTTGCTGATGTGGCCAAGGCCACTGCGCCTGCAGTGCGTAACTCTGTTACGCACAAGGTTGAATGGGATGCTTTTTGCCGGCAATGTCAGAATAGGAAGGTGTTCCCTGCGGAGCTCTCCGGCTACCTGACAAAGGGGAAGACCGATCTCTTTGGGGCATGGTTGGACTCTGGGAGGGTGTGGAGCAAAGTGTGCCTCATAATGAAGAGGACCCATTCATCTTCCAATGAGGCCCTTGCCGGCTGGATTGCGGTCCAGGGCAAAGCCCTGGTCAATGAATACGGCAAGGAGAAGGCTGACGGCCAAGCGGCAGGCGGCGGGTCTCTTTTACAATCACGAAGATTTCGCCGACGACCCACTTGAGCGCTACTACTACATGAAGAAAGCTCGTGAGCTGAGCCGCAGGGACAAAGTCACTGAAGCAACCACCTTGCAAGGTGAAGGTGAGCTTGACGGTGACATGGTCAAGACTTTGATTGATCCCAATGAGGGCTTGTTGCAGGCAGGCGCGTTGCCAGCCATGGGTTGCAGCAACCCCGCTGGCCAGAAGGCCTTGATGGATGGACTGTGTGAAGCAGGCGCTCAAGCTGTGCCCAAGCAAAAAAAGCCTAAAACCGATGCCGAGAAGTCTGAACCTGCAAAGCCCAAGACATACCCTGAGAAGGCTGTGGATCTCATGGCTGAGGTCTTGGCTGAAAGCACCAGCGCCCGCAAAAAGAGCATGTCTTTGGGGGAGGTCAACTATGCTGGCGAGCTGGCAAACGAATTGCTAGCCCATGCAGTGAAGATGGAGAAGCACTACAGGACCCTCCAAAACGCTACCAAGAAGAAAGTTGAGGACAAGCACTTCTACAAGAAGGCCTTTGATGTCATTTCCAAAGATCGAGAATGGTTTGTCACTGCTCAGGACTGGCTGCGCCTAAACAAGTCTCACCACACAGGGACAAAAGGCTAAATGATGCCATCAAAAACCACTTTGGTCCTCTTTGGAAACGACCTCGAATTACATGTCTTTGTTGGTAATATGCAGACATGACATGCTAAATGTAAGAATTCAAAAATCAACAACAAATCCACGTTCATTTGTGGACCGACCTATAACTCTGCCCTGCAGGCTGCGGCTGATTCCATTTTGTCGGGCTTAAAGAGGGCCAAGAACAAGAAAAAGGACGCTGATGGAGCTGAACAGGCTGCACCAAAAAAGGCCCGAGGCGGGCGAAAGCCCAAATAGTTAGTTTTGGCAGAGGCGTTTCATCACAGAGACGCTGGGGTATGTGCAAACCACATGGTTTGTCTGTAGGGGTTGCCTGACACCATCTCCCAACACTGGGCTAGCTGATATTGAACAATGACAACGTCATAAAATGTTATAACAGAATCGGTGTTTTGTGTTGTTTTGCAGTCTCTTTGTTGGCCAGTGTCCTGCCTCATGGAATGCACGGCTGCTTCCATCCACGGCAGATCAATCTCCTTGGATCAGGCTGACGTTTGCAATCAGCGAGTGAAAACAGTGACCGGTCCAAACTCGTGGCTGAAAGCTGTTCCTTGATTTGGGCTCATTAGGCAGTGTTACCAAAGGTCCTTTGACAAGACTTGTACAATCTCAGCCCCTGTAAATCTTTCCTGCGATCACTCTATAAACATGTAAAAACTCAAACAAAAAAGAAGTCACATATGGCGCTCCCGTGTGGAGGTTCTAGCCTGCTGAGCATGGTGAGTGCATCATCGAGCAGGCTCATTCAGAGTTCACACACATGTCAGCAGACCCTTTGTTCACATGTTCTCTCAAAACTTCACCAAGCATATTGGGGGTTTCGTGTGGTTTTGTGTTGTCCTCTGCAGTTTCCCTGCATGCGGCGTTCAAGCTGGTAGGTCTTCGAAGCGTCGCAAGATAGAAGAGATGACTTGGAGCTACTGCGTTGAGCAACTTCTCACTTTAGTTGGCCGTGGCCGTATTGACATCTCTTGCGCGACAGACATTGCTAGGGCGGTGCTACAGGATGGAGTTGAGAATGAAACGGTCTCCAAACTGGCAAGTCTGGGTGCTTTTGGCGATTGCCAGTCCAAGTGTGAGAGGGACCTTCATACATGGTTGCGCAACCTTTTTGGATTGCAGCTTCAAGCGTATTCCATTGATGTTCCATTGAAGGTTGGGTGACACAGTTTTGTTTTGCTTATGTGTGCTAAATCGTAGTTGTATATACATGGGGTGCGATTGTTGTGGTTCCCTTTTTATGTGCAGGTGAACGGTGTGAAAAGCGTGACTGTCAAAATGGACGTCCTTCTTCCACATGAAGTCCTTCATGCCCTGGCGATGTGTGATGCGGACTTGATGTTTGAGAGCCTTATGTTGGGAAACCGTGACCCCCAAACCATTGCAGCCTTCTGGACCCATTTGAGGGGGTTGGGCCCATGGCGAGACCATCCAGGATTGCAGGACAGGTCGCAAGACCTTTCAAAGGTTGTCGCGCTACAGTTTCATGCTGATGGGGCAGAACTGTATCGAGACTCAGAATACTTCGTTTATTCATTCAGCAGTGCTTTTGCAGGGAAAGGCCTAGTCACTGATTGTCTTCTCTACCGCTTTCCATTGCTGATAGTGGCCGAAAAGGACATGCAGCAGAAGGCTGTCGCTAGATTCTTGCAATTAGAATATGGTTGGTATAGGTTTCAGTTTTCCACCCAACACATTTTGATAGCCTTGCCCAGTCGCGTGGTGATTCCCGCAGGTAAAAGATGGTGTCAGCAAGATCGTTGCCCAAGTTTGCGCTTGGAGCATGAAGTTTGCTCAATCAGGTGTGGCTCCGACCAAAGGTTTCTATGGGGAGGCTTTTGAGAAAGGTACGTGGCGGTCGCAGTGGAGTGGGCAAAAGTTGGCCCGGGGGTACAGGATTCTCAACTTGGACCAGCTGTGAGTTTTGTTAGGTCTTGTGTTCTTTTTAAACAGCCTGGCAAACATGTGGGCTTTGCTTGGTCTGCGCTGAGGGCCCTCTACTTTTGCTGGAAGGGCGATCTGAAAGCTCGCAAGGAAGTCCATGGCTTCACTAGATGGTACAGTTGCACTTTGTTTCGGGCCAGCGTTGAGAAAAGCTTTGATAGACTTGATTTCCACAATGTACCTATCTGTTTGGTGCGGCGTACTCCAAGGCAGATTGTTTCCCTTGTTTTAGCTGCAGGTTGTGTGACCTTTGCGTGGCCCAGAAGCCGGCCAAGAACGCCGACCTGCGGATGAACTTCAAAAACATGTGTGAAAACCCGCCGTATGCTTTGACCGAAATAAACCATTCAACATACATGGCGACGCACCATCCATCACCGTGGCACGAAGTTGCAGGCTGGACTCTGCATAGCACAGTCTATGACTTTATGCACAACGTTTATTTGGGCAGCGCAAAGATTTTTATTGCAAGTGCGATACGCTTTCTGCTTGAGAAGGGTGTATTCGATTCGTTTGGGTGGGAACGAGACTCTTTGAACATGTTCTCTAGCATCACCCTCAGCATCCAAGACACCTTCAAGCGGAACAAGCCTCTTGATTTTGTACCGTTTTTGAGGAGTTGCTTAATTTGCAAGGGTCAAAAGATGGTAGAATGATATGTCTAAAACAAGGACCAGGTGTTTAGGCTAGCTATGATTTGGGTTGCAACAC